GACAGATGCATGCAGTCCCTATTCGCCCTATCCAGTTGAAGCTGCTGGAGAGACCAAGTGTCACCCCTTAGTCTCATTGTAGCTGTTGATTGGCGTAGCTATTGCGAGGGTGCTTTGTTGCCGTATTAAATGTGTTGTGATGGCTGGCGCAGGAGGTGTACCGAGGGGAGCGTTGAGGACGTCGCTTAAGGGAAGGCAGGGGTGGTGTAGTACTTAGTTGGTGTTATCACCTAATGTCTGGCGAGTACATTGGGATTCGTGTGGCTTCTGTTCACGTGGACTGACCTTCGGTCCAAGTTATGACTTAGTTACTCTGCTATTCCTAGAGTACATGTATTCAGCTCCACTTGATGTCTTTCTATGTCTGGCAAGAAGTCCCGGCACTCTACAAATGTAATACTTTGTTTACTTGACTACCCGTATAGCCGGTAGTCGCTTTGGTACCTACCTTACCTTTTGGCTAGGCGAAAGCCTAATCAAATCCAGTCTCTATTTCGCTATGCTAATTGTCCTACTTAACGACTTGCACCAGGGTAAGGGTCTTAAAATGTTACAAAAGAGACGTTTTACAGGTATTTTGTTAACCCATGACATGTACATAAACAAGGACAATCAATTATTTTCTATACTTTTTAAAGCTTTTATAAATGATTTTTTGTTCATAAACTTTACACAGATGAAATTATAATATGAACTATGCCAGTTAACATATAATTCGTCCAAAATAATGCAACTTTCAACCTTGATATATCTATTATAATGTCAATGATGCACGATATGTAGTATGTTTGCACTGTTATGGAAACGATACTTCTCATCCTGACTTTTGTTTTGTGTGTTGTGGCATTTTTTGTCTTATTCTTTGAAGGTCGGGCATGGCGAACCAAATCCAGAGGTTATTGCTCTCAGTTAAACTTTTGCTTTTGTTTATCGTTTATTTGACAAATGTTCCTTTGCAGAATCTTCCCGAGGTGATAGAAGGCAGGGTTCGTCAAGTAGACGACGCCTTGGAAATGCAGCAGCTCGTCGCTACCAACAGCGGTCTGCTGCTTTCACTCCCCGAGCTCCACAGTTGATGACGGGGTCCGATTTTGAATCTCGCAGCGAGAGCAACGATGGCGATGGTTCGACGGGAACAGACTCGGGGGCGAAACCGGTAATTACAAATCAGAAAAAGAAAATAGGGGCCAAGAAAGCCCAAAAATTGGCCGAAAAAGAACGTCGAAAGGAGGAACGCGAAATGGAGGCAAGATATAGGGAAGCAATACGAAAGAAGGAGGACGAGGAAATTAAGAAAAGAAAAGATGCTGAAGCAAGAGAAGCTGCTGCTGAAGCAGCTCAAGTTAGTCCCTTGTTGTTAGCTATTCTGCTGCTTCAGTTTTTTTGATGTTTCACATGTTTGAGCTACCCACATAGTTCCGTCTGAAATAAGTTGGCAAAGTATTTCAGGAACCTGGCCTCCTTTGAGTTTGCACGTGTGTGATTCCATCGTGTTTCGATTTTTTTTGTTATCTTGTGCGAATTTGAATTGTGTGGCATCTGCCTCTGCTCCTGGGTTGCCTTGAGCGTTTAAGGAGGGTGCAAGAGTTATCCTGTTTAAGGTTGTCTTTACACTGAACAACTGGTCGATCATCCCTTAGTACTAAACCCTTGATGGAATCCTTTTATAGGCGGCAGCAGAAGAGAAGCTGAGGCTGGAGCAAGAACTGCGGGAGCAGGCTGAGTATGAACGACTGAAAGCCACATTTTCGATTGAGGGTGAGGGTGTTGGTATTCAGCAGTTGGACGAAGAATCCGAAGGGCAGCTCGACCGCAACTTCGTCAAGGAAATTAAGGACGCGAAGTTGATTTCCCTGGAGCGACTTTGCGTAATATTTGATATGAAAACTGATGTGAGTTGGCACTGTAATGACCTATTTGGACTTTTCAGTATGCTAAACAACTAGTTCTGTAGGCCTGTGTGGAGAGGATTCAGCGGTTGATCTCCGAGGGTGCGCTGAGCGGAGTTCTGGATGACCGTGGCAAGTTTCTGTACATAGAACCCAAGGAATATGAGGAAATTGCTAGGTTCATAGAACTGCGTGGTCGCGTAACCATGAGCGAACTCGTTGAACATGGCAATAAAGTGATCAAAGCTCGCATGTGAGCACCTACTTGAGTTAACAGAGTTCCGGCCCCCACTTCATTATTTCTGTGTTGAACATAACACTTAAATCAATTTCTCGTGTCCCAACTGTCAACCAACCTTTAAAGCAGTTTCGTTTCTATATACATGAGAGCACTTTAAAGGAATGGAATAATGTAGGTTCAATAACTTCATTTTCCTCGAAAGTGTTACGCATGAGTAAACTCAACCCCGTTCCCATTACCGTCTTCGGAGGAATTTCAGAGCCATACATGTGTCTTGATTGATTGATGCTGGAGGAGGCTCAAGAGAAGAAACTAAGCAAATATCTTATGCGCTTGAGTGTTCATTATCTAGCTCAAGAATACGGAGATCCCTCACCCTGCTCCACTTGTGCTTTTGTGGACACAGTCGAGGCCCACGTATCCATCACAAGTGTGCTATGCTTAATTCACTAAAAGGAACAAACACTAAGCAAAAAACAATGAGAAGCGAAATTAGAATAACTTGAGTTTGATAATGATAGGAACACAGCCTGAAGGGGTTAACATAAGGGTGGGGAGTGCTACTGCGACTTTTCGAGCTCACACAGGGCAGAAAGATGACCTAGTATCGTCTCTTGGACGACTGAGCTGGTGGACTGGGTTATTGTTGTTGATGACTGCGGGTGATTCCGATTTGCAAAAAGACGTTGCAGAAGACCAGGTCGGTGAGCCTGCTGGGTGGCGGTGCTGTATTGGACAATCAATCTTTGAAGGACGCTTGTTTGCAGAAATTTCTTGCAAACACAAAGTATTGAGTTAGGGATGGTGTTCACTAGCCATGTACACTTTTGCGTGAATAGAAAAGAAAAATGGAATGGTACCTGCTTAAGGGTGGGATCCATTTCGAAAATTCTCCGCATGGCGCCCAGGGCAGCTTCTTGAACGTCCAACGACGAGTCTGTACATCCAGACTCCAAGAGACTGGAGAAGAAACAGTCAGGTGGTGTTAAATGGTACAAAGTGAAAATCGTGAACCTACCAACTGAGCATTCGAGTCTCGACGGCCGAGCCACTTTCCAATGCATTCATAACTTGACACTCGAAGAAACCTGCGACAGTGGTTAAATATTCTACATTATTATCAAGACAAATATTTGCACCAAATCACCGCGAAAGGTGCTAATGGCACATACCAAGAAAGGGCTCTACAAGGTCTTTAACTGCAAGATTAAATGACTTATACGTGCTCTCTTTTCATGGGAATGACTACTGGTTGCTAGTTGTCCGATATTCACGAAACCTTAAAAATAACGAATCATAGTCAAAGCAGCGATGGTACATCTCGGAGCTTCGTGTGTTCATAAGTTGACATTGTACTAAGTTCAGCAATTTAAAAAAAAAAGGAGTAGCGTAAACTTGGTGGACAGTTAATTGAGTTCATTTGCCATTAAATTAAGAGAAGAACATTATGAATGGACATACCACAGGCCGCCACTCGAATTGCAGAGTTCTGGTCGACACTTAAGAGATTTTCGAGGGTGCTGATTAGTACAGAATCGGGTTTGGGAGTAATCCACCGAGAGGCGAATGCAAGAAGAGTGAGAGCGTAGTAGCGAACGGCGGCGTTGGAGCTGCTCAAGTAGTTATGTCCCTGCAACATCGTGAAAGAACTAGTGGCAAATGCAGAGAGAGTGGGGAACTTTGATATCGGCAAAGTGCGCGCATTCTCGAAAGTAGCAAACACTGAAACGAGAGCTGACAGAGACCACAGAATCCCTGGCAATGATTGCCCCTCTGCCAGCATTTGCCTTAGGGCGGGGTTGGATTTCTCACCTGAAGGGAGCATTGCGATTCGTTATTAAAGGGTGGACAACACCTGATAATCGTTGGGTCAGCAGTACTGGCTACACCTTCATTTATTATGTAATGCAAAGGGACCAAATACTGATAAACTAGGCGTAATCATTTATTTATTTTGAGTAATTATTTTAAATGGAATCAAACGACAGTTGACCATGTATACCTAAACGAAATTCGCACAAGGCGCGAGATAGTTTAAGAACAACAACGAAACACTCACTGTCTTCCATTGAAACGATCGCCAAAACGAGCTGTTGTAGCAGAGCCTGTGCCTGGTCTCTGGATTGTTTGAGTGTTGAGCTGGCTACGATGCTGGAAGGACCATGTGATTCAACCACATTGAAAAAGAGATAAGTGAGGAACTTGCAAGCTGATTCGAATAAGCCCTTGTCGGAGGAACACAGGCTATTGATCATAAGTTCCGCGAAGCCCTTCAGTGAAATAGTAGCAGAATAAGGGGGGCGGTCGTGCATACTTAAAGACTAAGTGGTGGTGTTCGAAGCTAAACTATATCCAGTTGGATTGGTGGGTGGGACATTTGGAAAGCCGGACTAATGCACAACTCAAACATAACGATAGCATGAGGTAGAATTAAGAAACCCTGTGACATAATGTTAAGAAAAGATTATTGAGAAAGGGAAGGAGTCAACTCTGTAGCGAACCGAGTTGATGCTTCCTTCTGTATTTTTGATAACCGTCACAATGGATTCGATGAAAGGCTCAATCTGTTGAGGTGATCGGTCGGAGAGGCGATCGCTTGCGCACCAGCGACGTTCTGCTGGGCCACCCCAGAGGCTGACAACGAAGGGATGTTCGGCACCGATGGCCATGTTGGGAGCAAGACCCCGCGATGCCACCTCGAAGAAGCACCGCCCTACATCCTTCTCGTGATCTGACATTGCTAACGGGGATTTCTCTGAAGCTTTAGTCAGAAAGATGGCCAGTTCCCCCAGAGAGGTTAGAGTCCCGCCGGTGGCATATGCGCTGTTCGAAAAACCGACGCAAAAATCAACGATCTGATTCCATTAAGTAGGCAAGTTTGAGAAAATATGGCAACATTTTACTCTAACTCTTCATATAGGGTTTTGGGGAATGGAAATCCTGGAATGAGGTAAAAACCAACGTATGTAATAATGGTCCACAGAAATAGTAAAGCCGATGTCGATTACATTCAGAGGAAAAGGGTTATTTAATCCAGATTCGATGTTCTTATTCGCTTTAGCCTGCATGTAGGCCAATTTGTGCATCCGTTGTACTGATTCAACTGCGAAATATTTTCATTAATAAATAGTTAAAAGGCTTTTGAAATCTTACGGCAAAATGACCGGCAGGTACTCCGCAGTATTTTTGGCGTTTAACGGAAATTCAAGAATGTTCGCTGCTGATTGAGAAATATCGACAAAGCCACCGCTGTCACTGCTGATGGAATAGCAAATAGCCATGAAACGCCAACGAGAAGAATATAACACCAAAAAGAACCAACGAACCTGTGATGCGTTTTAGGAAGGGAAAGGAGGAAATTTAGGCAAGCCAGAACATCACTTGTTTCATCGCGCAGTGAGTGCAGTAGAAGACGTGGCTCCTACGGTTTCGTAAACATAAATTACATAGAAAGGCCTCACAAAATGAACGGTATGGTAATAATTTCAGCCCAAACAAGTAACTAAAGCAGGTAGATTAGAACATTAAAATAGATTTCAAGTGCAAAAATATGTGCCGTACATTCTCTTTTCATGCTAAACTTAACTAGGAATTCGTATAAGCAATATTACACAAGTCCTCCATGGAGAAGAAAAATGAACCTTTTGAACGAGTTTGAGAGCGAGTTGGAGAACGTGGAGGAGGCCGGTGGGGGAAAGCAGGCGCCAGTCCAGAAGAGCGGTAGAGTTTCCACGTTGATTGTGGCGAGCGGACATGTCGAGTACCTGTCCAATAGTTGGCCACAATCGAGACCACACCTGACCCTCTAGTAGGCGCTTTAACAACGACGTCCACATGTGCTTGTGCGGGCAAGGCAGTGAAGGTTATGTCACATGGATGTTCAAAACAACTTCCTATTTTTCAATTCCATTCTTAAATCGAAGTTGAAGATTCAGATTACCCGAGCTAATGGTGTTTTAGACTTTTGCTTAGACAAGGGTTGAGATTGTTATGCAACCTGTGGTTATGATGATGTTTGACCATTGAAAAATACGTTTGATATTACGCACCAACATTATTTTCTTTACTCTCATTGTCTCATTTCCTACCGACCTCAAGATGCATAGAGCCTGTTATGTCTCCTTATCGAAGAATCGACCATTTTAGCGTTTTAACATTGAACCGCTGAAATTGTCTTGATCGATTGATAAAAAAAGATCATCCCGTCACAAAATTCGGTTTATTTAAAGAATTAAAAGCCTGGAAATTATGAATAAATCATTTGTCAAGTTTAATGGGGTTGCGTACAATTGCGTCAAAAGCTTACCAACCAATGGTATGAAGAAATTAGGGTGCAAAATCAAGATACTTTAAGTCTCCCATAGACACTTAGCAGCCTTAGAAATGCAATTTCAGCTTTCAGAGATACAACAACACTAGAAATGACACCCGTGCTTGAATGGCAGCCTGAGGTTTCGGAGCATATCGCCTCTCGAACCTGGAGGTTATCATACCTCAAGAGTAGTCGATATCTTTAGCTTAATGGATGAAGAAAGTCGAGTTGGATCTTTTTATTTTATCACTTATTTCAGCGCAGAACTACAACCGTGGCTGCAGCGTGCAGCTATGAGAGTACAGAAATAAGACTTATAATAGTTGTTCAACCACACTTACGAATCTGAGTGGAGCAAAGGTTCCAGTCAAAATAAAGGCGCATTTTAATGAAGAATCACTGTTTATGAATGAAAAAGTGGAGGGCGACTCACTGGATACGAGGAACAACAGTGTACCAGATGGAAGAGACCATCCAGCCAACCTTTGTCCCGAGGCCAGGGAGTCTGGGGGAGACCAAAAAGGACTGCCGCTGCCTCTTCCTCGCTTTGCGAGGTGCAACCAACTGCAGCGGCGATGGTGGTAATGGAGGAGTAGGATGCGGAAGTAGAGGAGGGGGGTCTAGCAGCAGCCAACAGACGCTCGCGCGCGTCTCGACTCTGAACCAACGGACTGCTCAACACGAGCAACAACACCCTCGCCAGATCACGCGCTTCCACCACCGGAATCAGTGGTTGATGATGCATCATCTCTCCCAGTAACAGACCCATTGCTGCCTAAACGAATATCAGCACACAACGCATCAATCACAAGGCCATTGAAAAAAAAAGATCATACCGCGTGATTCGGCAACTGTGAATGTGTGAAGAGCGAAGAAAGTTTTTTCGCTTTCAGAGAAATTCTGAAATGCCAAAAAAATATTTGGAAAGATTGAGTAGAATGTACACTGAACTCTGACTTCCTATACACAACATTAGAGTTAAATCGGAACAAAAAAACAAATTTTACTTTTAACTTACGAGTTTGGTACTGAACGCAGAGACATTATTGCGCAGCTAAGCGAGAGAATGGCAATTTCAATAAGACGGACTGTCTTCGGTTCGGTCTCCTGTAACTGCAATATGGATGTGCGTTTTTGCAATGAGCGGTCAGGGATGTCAGTAAAGTCCCTAATTTTGTTTACTGAAAAATATCGAAACAATGTGTCGTAACGATAAATATCCTCACAATTCAATCATTGACAATAGGCAAGTAACTTTAAGGTGACTAACACCAAAAGTTCTACGATGACATTCGATTCTCCGCAATAACGCACACATACCAGAAATTCCAAGATCCCAATCAAGTTGTCGATGTAGCCCGAATCATCTGACGTTAAAAGTATAGCCAACGATGGGGCATTCTGCATACATTCATAGAGAATCTGCATAATTACAAAGGGATAGCCATAAAATATGCATGATTTGATCATGTTATTCGGCTCCAACAGAGAGTTTTGACGCTTAAAGACATTGATTTCGCAAGTCCAAGCACTTCCAATTCATTGAATTCTGTCGTGAAGTGTTTGAGGAAAATGGGGCTTACACTTGCGGCCGGAGTGCATACGTTGGTTTCGCGAATGGCACAAACAAGGGTTTGAAGGTACTCCTTCATATGTCGATCACAGAGACGGGAGCCTACGTAGGAGGCCATCTAAAAGAAGCACAATGACCATATGAAGCCTATAGAAAGTAGTATGAGATGAAACCACGAATGGACATTAAACCCCATCCGAGATCCTATCTAAATAAACTGAACGCTACTAATAAACTGTAAGGCAAGATGAATTGTTCACAATTCATCATGACTGAAGAAGTTGCGAGATCAGTGTGCAAATATAAAGCTGCATGAAAACCTTCCGATATACATAGAAAGGTTGTGTATAAGGGGTTCAATTTCCCCATGTTAGAAGTCACCGATGGAATAAAGTAAAAACGATTCGTCACATTGCCTACTTGTGTAAAACCCACAAACGCTTTGAAAGTGATATATTCACATATATTAACTCTGCGAACATTGCAGACTATAGCCTCATGGGTGTTACAGTTGACGCACTTGTTGAGGGAGCGAAGAGAACACCTGGTGCGCCGTTGGATCCTGTTCATATCTCAAGGGGTCTGTCAAAAGAGCTAGAATTATTATGACTTTCTCGCGGATACTGCCTGCGTGCTCCCGAGACCTCTGCAGAAGGACGGGATACGTGCTGAGCGCCAGGCTGGGGCATGTGGCTAGAATCGAAGTTTAATGACAGTAACTCCACTTCTTGTCGCATTCATAACTAAAGTTACACCACCGAAGTAACAACTGCACCACTTGGTGGGAAGGAATAGGCTTCCAATGCATTGATCAAGTAACGCATCAGTCCCAATATCATCGTATTTTGCACTCAGAGGTTTGAATTTGAGACCTCCTATAGTTTGTTACAAAACGGTCAAGAGAGGTAGCAGTGGAAAAAACTTTTTAGATATATAGATATCGTGCTCCTCTTTGGCATTATTCACCAATGACAATCCACATATAAAGTCCACCTAACCAGGGTGAATAAATAAATTAAATTTAGGAGTGAAGTGAACGAAAATACCTGCCTTTTGAGGTCCTGCCTATTGAAGGAAATTGCAACAGGACATCTATGGAGGAAGTGCAGTCAGAGATAGCTGCTGAAAGAAATTGAGAGATAACTGCATTGGGCCATTTTCGAAGGCATTCGAGAAAGTACCGAAGACACTTCAAAAAAAAACAAGCATAAATATCATAGGTTGACGAAAAAGGCTTGAAGCAGAATGATTTGCTAAGTGATTGAGTTAGTGACCTCAAAAACAAGTAAAAAAGTAGTATTTTGCCTAGTAAGTTGTGTGAGAATTTTTGGTAGTCTCAAGACGGAACGATAAGACCTATCCAATACAAAATTTCTCGCGCTACTTGGAGACACAAAGGAGCCTCTGAAGGAGGAAGGTGCATAGAGAAAGCGGCAGTGACATTGTTTGCTCACCAGAATAGTCTGTTCGCCGCGAATGAAATCGGTGTCGCGGGTGAGGCAAAGGAGAGCGGGCACCAACTGCAGTAACTTCAAGCCCACACCCACGTAGGTGGCTTGGCTAAGGAAGAGGAGACAAATAATGTAAAAACTGCCAGCCAACTCGATGTGTCGAATGCATTTGATGATAGTTTTTTTTGACAAAAGGTGTATTAGCACACTTGAAGGGTTTTTGTTAGCGGAATCTTGTGAACAAATTGAACAACTAATACGCAATGTACGAAACCAACGCTTTTAATGGAAATGGACTTAAATTGCAGCTCAAATAGGAGCCGCTAGAAAACGGCTTAAAAGTAAATTGATCTGTCCTAGACATAAAATTCCTTTGAGTAGCTCCCCTGGAGAATTCTTATAAAATTATAGCTATTACTAGAAGCTATTAATAGACTCACGCAGACTGCGGTGGATCCAGGGTGTGTGCAATCTCACTCACAAAATAGGCATTTACCGAGAAAATGATTCGCAGAAGGGGATTCTGAGACCAGGATTGCTAAATCAAACAAAAATAGTAACCCGGCAATAATCAAATAACAATGGCGAGAAAGGATTGGGGTTAAACTAACAGAAAGAAAGGACTCTTTCTTCAACAGTTCAGCTAGAAGTTGGATGAAGAACGTAGGAATGTTGGTGCGTTCGTAGAAGTCGGCGAGAATAAGAACATGGCTGAAAATTAAGAAGTGCAATTCAGGAAACGTTAGGGGAAAATAAAATGATGCCAGCGATGAAGCCAATAAACTGCCCTTGCTTAGGAGTGTGACTCGCTGAACTGGCAGCGGCTATGCAACCATAAGTCTCTGTCACCAGGTTACGCCTATGAAAGCGTAAGCTATCCCACCAGAGCTGTTACCTCAATTTGCGGGTGCACCAGTATCTATAACGATCCAGCTTCTCCTGTTAGACTTAGTCTGCATTCAGACCACAAGGCAAATTCTCCTTTATTTGGCGGCAATTTGATAAACGATTCCAACGTTTCGATGCAAATAAAAACAGTTACAATTATTATTCTATGGAAGCAAGAAACCTAAACAAATCTTCCTTCTCAACGTATCTATGCCAATCACTTCAATTACTTCCTCTATTTTAGATACTATAAAATCAAAATTAATGAGTGAATTCACAGAGTCGCAACCAGTAAATCTCAGTCAAGTGAAAAATGGAATTCACCACTCGACGGTGATGACATTAGACACGACAGCAATGATAGCCTCCAGGTGTTGAGCGGCCTGAGTAGGCGTAGGAGCAGAGAGAGAGGGAGGAAGTTCCCCGGCAAGGAGATGAGCCCACCACGTGGCTTTGCCGAGGCTGGCACAGAGACCGGATACAAAACAGGCATCGCACATCAGTACGAGATCCCAAACTACTCCTGTCCGCGCCACCAGAGCCTCAGGGCTCACCAGTCGAGTTGCTAGCGCCTGTGCATCGGCAAGGCTCGCTGGTTGTCCACCTTCACGTACGCGCCCCAGTGCTTTCCAAAGCTCCAAATCCCATCGGCTCAGGCACCCCAGCCACGACACTAATGCCTCCGACACTTCCACCGTCTGTCCTCGTGTCGGCGGCGGTGGCGAAGACGGTAGCACCTGAGGAGAAATCCTTACCATTGGTACCTAAGTTTACTCTTTAATGCGTTTATGAATGCTATGCCATTCTTTTGATAATAAGAACACAGCGGAGTCAATGGGACCAAAAGATTGCATGTCCAAAGATGAAGCCTAACGATAATGTGAACAAAAGAAAGCAAGGTAACTCACAGTAACGACGTTTTTTGTCTCTGTTATGGTAGTTTGACGGTTAATTAGAGGTTTTGACGTCAAAGAGGGAGCGACTTCTTGACGCGTCATAGTGGAATCCTTCGAGAGAGTGCGAAGGATTCGACTACTCATGGGTCGCGCCTTCATTTGAGTCTGTCTCTCTTTCTCAAGCGACTGACTGGCTGTCAATGGTTGTGTAAATGGACTTTTCAATTGCTTGGTCTTTGGAGAGACTGAAAGGAAATCAATGTTGTAAGATACATTTCTTCGAATAAGCTCGTCAATTTAAAGTAATGCTGGTGACTTTCAAGAGTTAGTACAGAGTTGCAGCAGCATAGGGAACATGCATGATGACCGATATGGTCTAACGATTTAATGACTTTTTTTCCAAGACTACAAACTATACCAAAGCTAAGAACAAAAGGGAATGTTTATACCGTCAACAAGATCTGCGACAAATGGGTGCAAGAGAAGATCGGGCCATTGAAGCCGCCGCTTGGAATCCTTTTCTAGAAGGCCAGCCAGAAAACTCTTAAACATAGGAGACATCTTATCAGTCCACTTGACTTTGTTATTAGTAATCATTTTAACAAGTTGAATAATGCTGTTGGTGTAGAATGGGGGAGTGCCGACGGCCAACTCGTAAAGTATGCAGCCGAGAGCCCAAAGGTCAGCTGTGTGATCGTATGGCCGCTCCTCGACAATCTCCGGGGCCATATATAGTGGCGTACCCTTGATTGAGGTGAGCACGAGGGTGTTGAAGCTCATCGCCCTGGCGAAACCAAAATCACACAATTTCACCACTCCGCCATGCCCGAGAAGGATATTCTGTGGCTTCATATCTCTGTGAAGAATACGATTCGCATGGAGGTAGTATAAGGCTGACACCAATTGTGCAGCTATGGACTGAATCTACGTAGCAACTCCAAAAGATAGGAAGTCTAAACAAACCACATTCTCAGGGAGGCATTTATCATCCTCGAGGATTTGAAAAAGATCCCCTTCGGCATATTCCGTAACGGCAACCATCTCCTTTGGAGTCTCAAAAGCGTCAACAATGCCAATTATATTAGGATGGTTCAAAGACTTCATAATTTCAATTTCCTTTTTCAAATTCTGAAATGCTCTATCACTTTTGTCCGATTTTGATATGAATTTAAGGGCTACAGTCTAAAGAAATTCAAATGTACAACAAAAGAGATGCATACCTGCCCAGTGTAACGTTTTCGACCACGGTAAACGCGTCCAAATGAGCCCTCGCCTATGCATTCAAGAACATGATATCGATCCATGGATGGCAAGAAGTCTGCTGCGGTGACCCTACATGAAGTCGTTTAGACACGAAGGAAAAGTAATAACTCAACCAACAGCGAAAATGCAAATAAAAAAATGAGCAAGCAAAAAATGGAGTGGCAAAGCATAATGCAGAACACATATTTACCAAAAGTCAAAGACAGTAAACAAACTGGTTTAGCTATCCTGGGGTCAGAAATCATAAAAGCGGGTGTATAAATCAAAAAGAATGAAAAATACGACCATCCCACATTTTTGAAGTCTAAGAGAGACTCAGCAAAATGTGACACAAATAAATCCTTCAGTCTTAAGGGTAACAAAGTCCTTAAACCAATAGAGTTAAGAAACGACATACAGCTTTCTCTTAAAATTAGACCCCACGTTATTTAAAATACGAAAGAAAAACAGTTAAAACTGTTCAGCACTTATTAGAAGGCACCAAATGATCCTCCCTTGACAGATATTACCACCCAGATTTCTTGATAAGAGCGGTACTTTTTCGATTACACGTACAAATTATGAGAACTACATTAACGTTTCTTTAGTTATTCACTAACATGAAGACCGGCGTAAATATGTACTTCACCTTGTTATTATCGGTAGAACCATTTGCCTACTTCTGAGTGGATTATAGACTCCATAAACTTGTTTCGGAATATCGTTGTGATTTTTACAATGAGAAAGCGTAACTGATAAAACTTTGAAGTGAAGTTTTGTTAAAATTGTGCTCACGAAATTTCACGTGTTTTCTAGAATCCCAATTGCTATCCTCAATGGATTACATACTTTTAGCACCTAGTTCGAGTAAGTGCATTAAGTGCCTAAGCCTAATACCTACTTATCCTCCTGGAATACATGCGTTCAGCCCTAAGTAGTGCGTTTTTCATCAAAAGAAAAGGAATTTGGACAATATTGTGCCATGCCCGATGAAGATCTTCAAGGAAGACTTCCCTTATGTAGACCATGGGGAACGGATAAAAAACCTATTGTAGCAACTCAGTTTAAGATCTTCCAAAAGACCACGTCTTACGGGATCGTTGTCACCCCATGTTTATTTGTAGACTTGTGAAAGGTGTGAAGCTGTATTAGAAGGCATTAAGCGAAGTTGAACACTTGTGATCAGATGGCACGCCTGAAGTAGGCGTTGGCTTAGTACAAGGGCTAATTCATGCACCCAAAACGTTTCGATTATTAATGGTGCGGTTTACAAATAGGTAGCCATATAAACAAGGCGTGATGCTTTGCTCATGTCATCATCTGATGTCCGATGGCTACTTTGGGGTGCACACTGCCCTTGCACGCGTTAACCACCCTTCATGTCAAGCCCAGGCTCAACTTTCTTTTATCTCCCTAGAATACACGTATTCAGCCCTTCTTAATGCTTTTTGCTGGTGGGAGACCTCCGGGCGTTATATAAGCTATTATGGGACGTCATGCCAAACAAAATCAAACAAAAACATTGTTCTTGCATTATCATAAGACAGAAGGCTAAGGCCGATGGCATTATCTAGAGCCCAAATTTTTAATAGTTAAAGCTCGACCCATTTCCCCCACCAAAAAGAACATGTGTCCTATCGAATCGGAAAATCTGTCTTAAAAACCAAAAATTTATCGATCGCAATTGTTAAACAAACGCGTGATTAGGAAAAAGATGTAATGCTTTGTTTATTGCGACTGCCAGACGCTCAACAATCACTTTAGAATTTATCAAGCCTTGTACGCGTAGGCTGGTATTCGCGCCATGTTCAGGTCCATTTGCTCAGTTCTCTTCAGGATACATGTATCCAGACTCATTTTCAACCTTCTTTCACTCGGTATAAGTCTCGTAACGTCACAATGGTAATAGCGGAAAGCGAACTCGACATTTTTCAACGACATCTATCCTAGCACGTACCATTGGTTGCATGTAATTATGATGTGAAAGAGACGCATTTGCATAGATGGCGGAGACTCCCTGAATCCTTCACAACGAAAGGGTCGAGACTGACGTCTGTATTTGGCTCCACCTTATTCCCATGTTCCACAGACAAGCTAGTAACAACTGAAGCGACACCACCGTGAACCTTCTGGAAAAGTTTCGTGTTGGAATTTCTCCTACAAAATCCGTGTATAGCTGTTAGAAATGACACTACGGTTCTCCTTGCATTACAGGACAGTGGCTCATCCTGTTTTCCCTGTAACATGTGTGTATTAGGCCAGAGTTCCACGTCTATTCCTGGAAGCAATTGACGGTCAACAGATGTATGCGGCCCTGAATCTGGATGCCAGACCGAACGTAACGCCAGATGCGGTTAAAGCTGCCGAGGAGAACAAGCACGGTTCAGCAGTCTCATGCTGTCTGTAGACCGTCGCGTTTGGCTCGTGGGTGCTTTCATGCAGTACCGAATATGTTGTGATGGCTGGCGCGAGAGGTGTACCAAGGGATCGCCGGGGACGTCGCTCAAAAGACAAGAGGGACAGTGTAATACATTGTTTATGTGACCACATGACGTTTGGCGGTCACTGTAGGATTTGTGTGGCCATTGTACAAGTGGGTTGGTCTTCGGGCCATGTCCTGGGCCAGTTGTCCCGCTGTCCTCATAATATATGTGTCCAGCTGCACTTACTGAAATCTTATTCCGGCTAGGAGGTCTCGAAACGCTACAATGTTCGTGTTCGTATTCCCTTCGTTCCCATGTTCCACAGACAATTTATCGACAACTGAAGTGACATCACCGCGAAACATCTGAAAAAGTTTCGTGTCGGTATTCTCCCTAATACATCCGTGTATGGGTGTTGGAAATGACACTGCGGTTCT